GTACACTCAGCTGAGGCCTCGCTGGAGATGGAGTTCCCTGCCCAGGTTGTTCTCGTCGTTCTCAGAGGAACAGGTAACAAGGTAGTGGCAAGTTATTATAAAGACAGTGACTATATACAGAAAAATAATAACAGGACACCTCAGGAACATGATTTGTCATCCACAGAAACACCCATGGCTGAGTTCAGCTGGGGCTCCCTTCCAGCACACCAATTAATCACATGGATACAAACATTAATTTTTTTGTCTTGGTATAATTAAAGGCATGGGGTTTATGCTGTTCAGAGATTGCATGATCCTAGGCAACATTTTTTTTTTAATCTGTCCCATCCCCACTTCTCCACTGCCTTGAAGAAATTCTTATCTGACACAAACAAATAACTGGGTTTATGATCACGCTTCACACACCCTTTTATGTTTTTTTGTATTTTTAAAAATTTGTTACATTTGGTGACACAAAAGATACACACGCACATCTTATCTTCCTGAATGCAAAATATGACAACTGTCATGTTTTGGAACATTTCTGCCTATGTAGAGGTGTTGCCGAATTAGGGGAGAGCTCTCGCTGTTGTGATAGCATATATAAAGGAGTTAGCAAGAGTTATGGGAGAGAAGCCAGGAATACACTACAGCATCTAAGATTTAATTGTGCACACTGTTGTGCTCCCATGGAAGAGAAAAGGATGAATCCCAAGGACGTGAAGAGGATCCTCTTTACATCTGTGGTCCTGCTTCTGTGTACAGCAGCAGGTGAGGTTCTTCACGTGCCATTTGGTGCGGCCATTTTGAAATGGGATCTTGTCGGTATTTGAGGGACCATCTTGTTGTTCCATTCTGATTTAGTTTGACAAAGCACGAAGGGACTACATGTTCTGAAGGAAACTTGTGAGCTTAGGAGCTATGTTGATTGTCTGGTATTGCTAAATTGGCGGTGGGTAAGGGAGGCAGCGGCATTTGCAGGTGAGAAGAAAAGAAGAAACTCAAAGGGCTTGAAATGAGGTTTACTCCAGATTCTGGGATAAATCTTATTTCAAGCACCCTTGTTGCCTACAGAACAGTTCCCAAAGCAACCGCCAGTGGCCTTTTCAATATATTGTATCTCCCAACTCACTCTGTGGCTCAGGGTTGCTGTGAGGAGAAGAAGCTGCCTCATGGCACCACTGTAGATTTTGCTTGGGTGTGGGCAAATTAATCACCAATTTATGTCTACTCTGAATGAAGCGTGTTAACAATTTGCCACCGCCACTTAAATTTCAAAATTCTAAATGAAAAATTGTGGGGACAACAACAAAAAATAGGAGTTTTGTCAAGTTTAAATGTGCCCATGCTTCCTCATCAGCAGTGCAATTTCATTGTTAGTGTAATGTTATTTATTGGACTGGGGTGATGCAAGATCAAATCACCCCTCATTGCAACCTATGTGATAGATTAGGCAGAGACAAGAGGTTGTATTCAATGAAACGCTATGGAGAAATTCTGTCAGTGCAAGCATTTTCCCTTGGAGTAAGGATGGTTCTCTCCTTCTTCTCACCCCTGCCCACACCCTAAATCTGTCGCAGAGGTTTTGTCCAACACTCTGGAGCAGATTTAAGGAGGGTGATGGACACTTGCAGGAAGAATAAAGTGTGTGTGTGCGTGGGGGGGGGCAGACTTTTGCTGTGCAATTGGAAATCCTTGTGCTGATGAAAGCCCTTTCCAAGTGTGCAAAAGGAACAAGTTGGTAGACTTGTCAGTTCGCCTATAACCTGTTAGACTTGGGCCCACTGTCTGTGTTGCTGATACAGTCATACCTCAGGTTACAGACGCTTCAGGTTGCATTTTTTCAGGTTACGGACAGCCAAACCTGGAAGTACCGGAAAAGGTTACTTCTGGGTTTTGGCGTTCGCACATGCACAGAAGCGCTAAATCGCACTTTGCACATGCGCAGAAGCACTGAATCACAACCCGTGTGTGCGCAGACACACAGCTGCGGGTTGTGAATGCTGCAGGTTGTGAACGTGCATCCCACATGGATCACGTTCGCAACCCGAGCGTCCACTGTACTACACCACACTTAAATCAGTGTGATTGCAGAGTAAAAAAAAAAAGGTGGGGTAAAGGACCCCTTCAAATCCAGTCAAAGGTGACTTTGGGGTTGCAGTGCTCACCTTGCTTTCAGGGCGAGGGAGCCAGTGTTTGTCCACAGACAGCTTTCCAGGTCATGTGGCCAGCATGACTAAACTGCTTCTGGCGCAACGGGGCGCCATGATGGAAGCCAGAGCGCACAGAAATGTCATTTACCTTTTCGTCCCAGTGGTACCTATTCATCTACTTGCACTAGGTTGGCAGGAGCTGGGAAAGAGCAATGGGAGCTCACTCCGTCGTGGGGATTCGAACTGCTGACCTTCCAATCGGCAAGTCCAAGAGGCTCAGTGGTAGACCACAGCTCCAGCAGAGTTTCCAGCAGAATATCATAGCTTTCCTGTTCTCCAGTAGTCAGCCTTTTCCAGAGTTCCTGATTAAGAAAACTCCTTTCCCACGCAGTTCAGTTTAGAGTGTAAAGTGTCTATTGTCTCACGGCCCAAGACAAGCATAAGTGTAAACTTTAAGAGATTCTGGTGAATTGTGAACTAATCTACTATTATAGAAGTCCTTCTGGTCTTAGAAGCAAAGCTTGTAAAGATACAAGTATACAGAGAGAGCCACCAGCACTTTAAAGTACTAGCTAGCTCTCCATGCTATATTGAACCATACGGCACACAACCTTCAGCTTCTCTGCTGATACTTTGCACTAAGCAAAAAAACCCCACCCTTCTCAGCGAATACCTGAGTGCACATTCCTTAGAGAAAGGGAAGGCGAGTGAAACATGCTCCAGGTATTTAGCCTTGGACTGTTTCTAAACCACCCATTGCAGCTGGCATGCTAACTCTAAACAGAATCCAGATGTTGGGGGTAGGCTGCTCAAGACATGGCCCCAGCGCTTGGTGCAATTTTATCCATTTTTCCCAAATTACACCAACACAAGCGAAGGCTGAAATTGGAGAGGGGAGTGGATATGTGCGTGTTGGCCTTGTCCTCACTGCCTCCACATGCACAAGGCGTGAGCTCTCCCTACCTAACCTTCTGTCACTGAGCAGATAGAGCTGAAGGGTTTAGGGGTGGCGGCACATTGGCTTGCATGTGTTTAGAAGCCTCCCCATGACTGGGGATCCTGTATCCTCGTGGTTCTGCATTCCAAGATGGCTTCCAAGTGCATTCCGCTGCACACTCTAGAAGCCCCCTCAGACCTTCCCTCTCAACTCTGAAAACTGGGACTGGAGCCAGAACATGGGGCAGACCCATCCCTGACTCTCCAACCCCTGAGTTTCAGTCCTCGCAGGGTATCTCTGAATGCTTTAAGAGGGCTATAACCCAACAAACTGAGTTATTTTGGACCACTCGCTATTTCTAAGCCTGTTCCACTGAAGAGGGGTCGTTGTGAGGGGAAAATAGGACATCTCCAGTTACAGCGTTCTGATCTCCTTGGGGGTAAGGTGAACTACAAATAGATCAAAATAATGAAAGAAATGATGGTGATAATTTATCTACATAATACAGTGGTACCTCAGGTTACATACACTTCAGGTTACACACGCTTCAGGTTACAGACTCTGCTAACCCAGAAATAGTACCTCGGGTTAAGAACTTTGCTTCAGGATGAGAACAGAAATCACATGGCGGCAGCAGGAGGCCCCATTAGCTAAAGTGGTACCTCAGGTTAAGAACAGTTTCAGGTTAAGAACAGACCTCCAGAACGAATTAAGTTCTTAACCCGAGGTACCACTGTAATGAAAGAAATGAAACAGCAGCTTGGCAAGTGTGAACATTTTTTTACAGCTTTCAAACTGACATGTGAAAAAACAAGTGCCCTCTTCACTTTATCTTATGAACTAATAATGAATTAGGTAGGTCCATTTGGGTACCGATTGGATAAATATAAAAATATGACAGCCAGCTGACAGCTGTATCCTTAAATGCTACTCATCTTCTGACAGCCATCCAGGACTAGAAGAGGTTACCATATTTAAATTGAGGAACCACCATCTTTGCTTCTGAGCGCAAGGAACAAAGTAAGGGGGCAGGAAATGCTCAAAGCACCTACCTATATATGGGCTAGATAACATCAGACTAATGTTTCTGTGACTCCAGGATCCTGGGCAAACAAACTGGTCAATTAATCTATATGAGCCCCAAGAACAACGTAACAAGCCCTAGACATTTGGCAAATCTGCAACTGTTGATTAAACACACTTAGCCTCTGTTACGAAAAGGTAAGCCGCATCCACTGTCAATTGCAAAGTAAGGTAGCTAACCTGTGTTTCAATTCCACAATGTAGTGAAGCTGTTTGTGTCACATATTTGTTTTTAAGTTAACACAATGAAAAGTTGCTATGGAAATGTTAGGTACAGTGGTATCTTGGTTCTCAAACACCTTGGTACTCAAACAACTTGGAACCCAAGCACTGCAAATCCGGAAGTAAGTGTTCCGGTTTGCAAACATTTTTCGAAGCCAAACATGCTCCGTTTTGAGTGCCACACTACTGTTTTGAGTGTTACACTGAGGTCTGTCTGTTTTGCTATTTATTTTGTGTTTTTGTTTTTGCGGCTCTTTTTGTTTTGTTTTTGTGACTGTGTGGGACCCAGTTCAGCTACTGATTGATTGATTGATTGATTGATTGATTGTGTGACTGAAGTACATTGTTTATTGTTTTCATTTTATGGATCAATGGTCTCGTTAGATTGCTGTTTTAGGGGTTGCTTTTAAAAGTCTGGAACGGATTAATCGATTTTGCATTCCTTTCAATGGGAAAGCGCATCTTGGTTTTGGAACGCTTTGGTTTCGGAACAGACTTCCGGAACGGATTATGTTTGAGAACCAAGGTACCACTGTATTTGCATACTAAAGTAAAAACATAACCCCTCCCCAATGCAAGTGCTTGACTTTTCTCTCCCTTTGCCTGCTGTCATTTGCTTCCAGATTCTCAAAACCATCACACAACCACACATCCCAACAACAGCACTTCTCCTGAAATTGTTGAGCTTCCAACATCCACAGCCACTCCTGCAGCTTCCACAACTCTTCGGCCCATCCATAAAACTACATCCTACACAACGGATGGCTTCCCCATCACCTCAGCAGCTGCGCCGAATGTCACAGAAAGTGTCTCCAATACTACTCATGCACTCCTTACCTACCCCTCAGCCAATACCACTGGTAAGTCGCCAGACTGGAGAGAGTCAGAAACATTCTAAAATCATGCAGGGCTTTGACAGGAGTGGTGCAAAGAACTCCCTCATTGCCCTTAAAGGGGTTGTTTTTCTTTCGAATGGTTAATATGGTAGTCGTGCCATGAAACCTGAAATGTAGCTATCTAATTTGAATGGTCCGATGGATTTATCCTGCCCGCTCACCCCTGCCTGCACTCACTCGCTGGATCATCACCTTGTTATGGTGAGTGGGCTTGAACGTTCCTATGATCCTTGTGAGCGAAGCCGTGAGGAGTCTGCGCCACCGCCTCCATGATAATAGGCACAATCTCAAGGATGAAATCAGAGTGAAAATGACCTTCTAAAATTCTTCATGCAATTTGCAGGCAGAGAACTGGAGAGGGGGCACAATGTGTAATCTTGGTGTGCGTGGGGAGCCAAGATCACTCATCTATTTTTGTCCATGAGGATGCTTTCAATATGGTCAATTATTATGTTTAGCTTACACACTGCTTACTGTTTCTTTTGTCACTGGAGAAGCATCTGATTTCTGTGAAAGTTCTTTTAAACTGTTTTTAATATTGTGTTTTATCTGACCTAACCTGCCTTGGGATTTTAGGCAGGGTAAATAATAATAATAATAATAATAATAATAATGTCACACTCACACTTTAAGAGTACTGAGTGGTTCTGTGGAAGCGTAAGATAAACATAGTTACCCCCAATAAAATAAAATAAATCAATATTAATAACTAACTGCAGTTATACTTTTGCATTTGGCCACCCTGGTTTCCCATGGAAAGCAAAGATAGGATACAGATTTTAGAAACAAGCGCACGAGCAAATGATTAAATCTGGAGTGGGGAACCTTTGGCCTGCTATTGGACTACCACTCTCAGTGTCACTGAACCTTGGCCAAGCCAGCTGGGGCTGATGGGAGATGGAGTCCGGCAACATAAAGGTAAAGGTAAAGGGACCCCTGACAGTTAGGTCCAGTTCCGGACGACTCTGGGGTTGCAGTGCTCATCTCGCTTTACTGGCTGAGGGAGCCGGCGTACAGCTTCTGGGTCATGTGGCCAGCATGACTAAGCCGCTTCTGGTGAACCAGAGCAGTGCACGGAAACGCCGTTTACCTTCCCGCTGGAGCGGTACCTATTTATCTACTTGCACTTGACATGCTTTCGAACTGCTAGGTTGGCAGGAGCAGGGACCGAACAAGGGGAGCTCACCCCATCACGGGGATTTGAACCGCCGACCTTCTGATCAGCAAGCCCCAGGCTCTGTGGTTTAACCCACAGCGCCACCCACATCTGGCAACATGAAGAAGGCCAAAGATTTCCCTATCCCCGGAATAAACGTCATGTTTCATTGCATCCCTTATTCTCCACAGATTCTACACCATCAGAGCCTGCATGTTTGCAGGGCTGGGCCATCTTCCTCATCTGTTTAGGCACCATAGTGACCGTGTTCCTAATGACTGGTATCCCACTGATGGTAAGAGATACTACGCACACACTACCAATCTTTTTTTCTTTTTTCTTTTCGTATAATAATTTTTATTAATTTTTAATTACAATAATCCATAAGAGCCACATTATCATAATACCAAATTACAATACAATTAAAAAAACCAATTATTTAAATACCAAATTAAACAATTTTGGTTGACTTCCCGTGTGCTGGATTTCAGGGTACAAAGTCCTTATTTCTTTCTGCTTCCATAATCTTGATTATTCCAGTTACAACAGTTCTGATCTTGATCCTTTATTTAACAGCCACTGGTTTCATGGCTTTCATTCATAACTGCATATTTAATAAATTTTATGTCTGCAAGAGGAGTTTCTGTCCTGTAAATTTTCGTGTGAGGTGTTGTTTCTTCATTCTTCCTGTTATAATCCAACATATACAGCTCTCTGCTTCCACTTTTCTCTGCTCTGAAGGGCTGTGTTTTTCACTGTGTCACCTGCCATCTTGTTTGTCAGAGTCAAACAGAAGGTCTGGTGTCCCACCATAGCCCCGGGCAGATCTCCAGCTTTTCTTGTCCAACACTCATTGAAACACACTACCAACCCTGACTCACTGTTGCAGGACAAAAGGAAGTGCTGCTAACATTGGGATGGGGAATCTGTGGCTTTCTAATGTTGTTGGGGTTCCAGTCCCCATCATCCCTAGCAAGCATGGCCTCTGGCCGGGGATGATGGGAGTTGTGGTCCACAAGCATTAAGAGGGACACAGCCTCTCCACCCATGTGCTACCATATCAGTGCTAATAGCTTCTCCCCATGATTTTGCTTTCCAGCTCTACTGCTTCTTTCAGGGCCGACGCATGCAGCAGCCCCAGCAGTGTTCCCGATATAACCGCAAAATCTACGTGGTTCCTGAGGAACAAACGCACCAGGTAGAATGAGAAGAAACAAACAAAGACAATTGGAAACCCAGGACCAAGATTCGTGGATTCTGTCCCCAGCGCTGCCACTGATATCTCTGCATTCCCAGGAGGACATTGTTTCAAATGTGTTATTTGCAAACAACAGAGATTGAGGCTCACTGTTATTTTAGTACGAAACTCGGTGTACTTAAAATGAGAAAGAGAACGAGCAGATTTGGTGTGCTTGTGGGAAACTGGTGTAGCACATTTTGGAGCTGCTTGGCACCTTAAGTTTAAGTTTGGACCCACCTGTTCCTAGCTGACATTGATACCCTGCTATAGTTCTTCTGATAACTTACAACTCTTCTACTCTCCTGCCAGCAAAAACAAGCATTCAGATTACTCTAAAGGACAGCCCTTCTGCATTTCCTCTGGGTTCTGATGGTAGATGCAGGAGTTACGACACTAGGAACAGGGAAGGGATTATTCGTGTGCCCTCCCTGAACCTTGCTATCCTTTGAAATGCACACTTCTCTGAATTTTGTAATAAGGTTCTCCAACACACACGCACACACCCAAAAATGTTAAAATGCATATATTAGTGTGCATGCAGATGTTACTGAAAATAACTGGGGGAAATGCAACATTTCAGGAGAAATTGCTTGCCAAAATGTGCACATTCGGCAGAACAAAAATGTTGCGTATTAAAAAGAATGTGCCCTACAATGTTGATTTTTTGTGTGTGAGGACTTTTAAAAATTCAAACAACGCAGAAATGTAGTGAACTGAAGCTGGGGGTGGGGGTGGGGCTTAGGGAATCCAGATTCACCAACTGGTCTCAGCTTAACAAAACTCGTTGGTGTGGGGAAGGAAATGCAGCTGAATAGCAGAGGGGTCAAAAGAAAGAGAAGAGACCACAGAGGAGGAGTGCAGGGAGATCAGAAAGCAGAAACAGTTTGCACACTGATTAGGGAAGCAGCACCTGATGGATTTCTGCCTGCCATGCAGCTGTTGAAAGTGCAAGGACTCTGTTAGCAGATAATAGGTGGTATGCAACCTTATTTGTTTCATGCTTTCCGACTTTTGACTGGGGGAGTGGGGGATGAAATCATCTTCTTTTGCATCATGTTTATTGCACATTAAAAAACACACACACACACACACACACACACACGAGAAATGGGTATACCCTTTGCAGGCAAGAGCTCATCTATTTGACTAAATGTCCATTTAATCAACATATTGTTGCACGCCACCACAGTCTCCAAGAGGCGGGAGATTGCAGAAGTTCCAGGCCTCAGGGTTCGTGTTTCCTTTTGAAAATGAGACACAGTGGAGACTGTGGGGTCTTTGTTATTTGGGGTTTTTTTACATATATACAGGGCCGTCTTTACCCGGGGGTGCAAGGGGTGCGGGAAACTGGGAGCCGAATTCAGGGGGGCACTGGGCGCCCGCCACTGAAGCTCTTAACTATCTACTTGCTATGAAATAATAAATAATTTTGATCAAGATAGAAAAACAAAATACATATATACCTAGGTATAACCAGAATGTATACCTACTGTTTCACTAAAGGACTTTTGACTTTGTGTGTTCATTTACCATAGACGTGCCGCACCAGCGGCGGTGCTTATCATTCGCAGTGGTGGCGCTTATGAGACTCAACAACACTTGTCATTCTCAATGGCGCTGTGCATGCGAAATTAACAAATGTGGGGGCGCTGGGTGGATCTTTGCACCCTGGTGGCGCACATGCTAAAGACAGCCCTGCATATATATACAACCTGAGCCTCCGATTGGGGTTCACAGCATCAAGACCCCAAAAGGGTCTTGCTTCTCTTGCTACAGCAGAAATCAAACACTGCTCTCTGACCCTCTGCTTGCTGCTTTTTCTCCAGCTTCTAGCTCACGTAACAGCAAACCTTTCCCTCAAACTCCAGCTTTCTCCTTCTAGTTCTCTGAGAGCTGGAGAAGGGACCCCACCCAATTGCTGTCTGGCACAGAGCCACCTTTTCCTTTGTTCTCTTAATGGCCCTTCACCCAGACAATTGCCTCATCTAGCCTAGCTTGATTAGCTTTAAACATTTGCTAGGATTATAGGGGTTAGAAGTCAGGCACCCACAAACTCATAACAATATATTATCCCAGCCTGAAAGCACAAGTTCAAAAAAAGAGAAGATGGAATGATTTGCAAGGCCCTAATAACTCTGGTAGTAGTAGTAGTAGTAGTAATAATAATAATAATAATAATAATAATAAAATTATTATTATTATTATTTCTACCCCGCCCATCTGGTTAGGTTTCCCAGCCACTCTAGGCAGCTTCCAACAGAGATTAAAAATACATTAAAATATCAGTCATAAAAAACTTCCCTAAACAGGGCTGCCTTTAGATGTCTTCTAAACATGAGATAGTTGTTTATTTCTTTGATATCTGATGGGAGGGCGTTCCACAGGGCGGCGCCACTACCGAGAAGACCCTCTGCCTGGTTCCCTGTAACTTGGCTTCTCACAGTGAGGGAACCGCCAAAAGGCCCTCGGAGCTGGACGTCGGTGTCTGGGCTCAACGATGGGGGTGGAGACGCTCCTTCAGGTAGAAGAATGTCCATTGCATGGACCCAAGGCAGAGTTCTGAATTTA